ATTGTCAAACAAACAAAATACATTTACCCAGTAGATCAATGTTCATGTCCACTGTGAAACAAAACGTTCAATTAGAAGGTGCTTTTTTTGCTTTGTTTTAATTTGGATTAACCGTCTGAAAAATGTAAAGAAAATCCAGTTTAATTATTGAAAACGTAATTTTGTAGGACATAAGTTTAGATAAATGTAATACAAATTGTATTGGGTATATTGCAGTAGGGTTTAGGGTTAGCATGTACCCTCAGAACGAAAATGCAGTTCAGTTGTATGAAAACGTAATTTTGTAGGACATATAAATATATTTATTGGTTATATTGTAGTAACACAAGTTCTATTGGTCAACTTAATGGTGGTACACACTCTGTATTAATGCTCATGTTTAACGATCGATCCTTCCCAATCTGACTTTTCACTTAGCAGAAGACGAACGCTGACCCCTGCCCACATTAGTGCTCTGCTCCAAAGGAGACGGAGAGGCACTTCAACATTGATCAGGGTGTTTTAATCTCACTAAGATTAAGAGCCTTCCAGCTAATTGCAGAACAAAAGGCAGGAGGCAGCCGCTTGAGATCGTCATCATGATTAAGAAGAGATACAAGTGGATGAGCACACTTCACAGGATCAAAAAGCCGTTGATTTAAAGTCAAAGTCAAAGAGAGGAGAGATATAACATTAAAGAAAAAGTTGTCTGAAATAAACAGATAAACTGCACTTATTTTCCACCCAATTTTCAAACACTTAGAATATTTTGAAGGGGTTCTATAATCACACTGAAGATATACTCATAGTGTAAAATAGTATTTTTATTGGGTTCATGACCAAATACGCTAGGTTATATTAAAAAAAAGGTGGATAACAAAATGTGCAGGTCAGCTCTTCTGGGATTAGAAATTAGCATGTCATATTTAGTCATATTTCGTGGTTCTCTTGCAACCATTGGACCAGGAAGTTACTGGTTTAGGGTATAAAGTAGACGGAAACAAGTTCCAGTGAAGGAAACAAATATTGCCTTTACGCTTTAGACCGGGGGTGTCAAACTCAAGGCCCGGGGGCCCGACAAGAGCTCTGAAAGAATATGATATGTTTGTTAAACGGTTACATGGTGATTTACAGAAGCACGTTGCCCATAAACTATATCCCACAATGCATCTCAAATTTGAATTTTTTTTCTCAGAATTTCCCCTTTTCTCAGAACTTTTTTTAAACTTTTTTTTTCTAAATGTCACTTTATTTTTTTCCCCAGAATTTGGCTTTTCTTTTAAAATCATTTTGTGACATTTCTCACTGAAGAGACTTGCAATTACTTGCCCTAGACTTCTGCTTTCAGGCGTAGTTAATTATGAATTTATTACCATGTCAGATAATAATCCAATGCAGTGGCAATCATGTAATATCATGCATTATTTTATATATATTAAATATTTATTAGGGCTGTCAGTCGATTCAAATATTTAATCGCGATTAATCGCATGATTGTCCATAGTTAATCGCACATTTTTTATCTGTTCTAAATGTACCTTAGAGGAATATTTTTCAAGTTTTTAATACTCTTATCAACATATGAGTGGACAAATATGCTTTATGCAAATGTTTATTATCATTTGAACAATGACAAATATTCTCATGAATATTAAACACAACAACCTCTGAACATTACAAATATTCGAAAAGATTGAGAAAGAAAAATACTGCCATTAATAATTCAGTCTATCGGTGTGTGTGTGTGTGTGTGTGTGTGTGTGTGTGTGTGTGTGTGTGTGTGTGTTTGTGTTTGTGTTTGTGTTTGTGTTGGATCGTTGGAGCTATGTGCAACTCAAGGCATATGCTCGAACGGGAGCTGCCTGGACGCTGCAATCATGTTGCGCGCACTATCCGTGCTGAGTGTGCTGACTTTTCCCACAATGTCCCACTGTCTGGCTGCCTGCATAAAGTCAAGTGCTCGGCGCAGTTGTCGGCAAAATGTCACTCCTCTGTTTTCATTTAAACAGCTCCTTATATCCATTAGCGCAGCTAGCTAGCACCAGATGCTAACAACAACAACAATACACGTAAGGTCTCTCTCTCGCGCCACACATACACATACACGGTGCCTGCCGGTGAGCGTGGAAGTGTGGTCTGCCGCAAGCGGACGGCAGGAGCGGGGCTGTCAGCATCAGCCTGTAGATGGTATTTTAAACTCGATGCGCTCTGAAACTACGGGGCGGCCGAGGACAAA